TGAGATCGCCCACACACGAGTGCACGGGCGGCGCATCTTCTCCTTGCTGCACCAGCGTGAGCCCTGGGGTGCTGCTATCCGCTGCTGGCACCACCGCACCGCGTTCCACCAGCTTTTGCACCCACAGTGCTGCCCTTTGCTCGCGCTGCTGCTGGTCGCTGGTCACCCGCCCCGCCAGCATGTGGGCGCGGTTCTGGATGTTGCGGGGCACTGTCTTTGTCAGCAGCGCCAGCAGCAGCTCGTGCAGCGTCAGCTGCGCCCTGCGCTCCAGGTCGGTGTACTTGATGAGGCCAAAATTGCGCTCCCCGAGGTTGTTTGTGTTGCACTGCAGGTCCAGCACGTCCAGCCGCCCCCACCACGCCCACTTCTCGGCGCACGGAACCCAGCTGCTGTGCATGCGCTGCGCCACCGGGAGGTGCTGCTGGCTGTTGCTCAAGATGAAGAAGGCCAGCTGCAGGGCGCAGGGCAGTGGCGCATGCAAGTAGTGCGTGGGTGAGCAGTTGTAGATTGCTGGCCATGCGCTGCGTTGCTGCCCACCTCTTGTTTGAACGGCGCTTGGTCTTGCATGTGGGCTAGGCGAGCCAGCGCCAGCATGATGCGGTGCCGCTCAGCCTTAGGCACACCCGCGTCGCCGCTGCTGAGGAAGCGTTCCCAATCTTGCAGGAAGTGGAAGTAGCAGAGCAGGTATCCTTCGGCATGCCCGGTGGACACCAGCTGGTCCACCGCTGCAATCTCCGTCTTCGACTTGTCGATCATGATAGACTTGTACTTGAAGGTGCCATCCCCTGCCGCCTGTGCCTGCTCATTGGTGGTTTGGGAGGCGGGGGTGACAGCATGAGGCAGCAGCAGGGCAGGCAGCGGGGCTGGCAGCGGACTGGTGCCTGCCCAGCGCATCCCTCTATCCTCTGGCACTCACCCCTTCCATCGATGTGCGCAGGAAGTGCTCCACCACCTCCGCCGTATCCGAGCTGCACACCATGAAGCTGACCGGCACCCCGCGCCCGCTCTCATCTTGCACCTGCAAGTACCAGGATCAGGTGAGGGTGCTACAGCCCTGGTGCGCGCCGGTGTGGCTGCATACTCAACCCAGCCTGGCTGCTAGGCTGCTAGGCTGCAGGCTCACCACCAACGCGTAGAGTGGGTAGCCGTATTTGTTGACGCCAAACGTGGCGTCCATGAACACCAGCCGCCGCCCAAACTGGTCCAGCATGCGCGCCTGGAAGGACACTTGCATCACAATCACCAGCGGCTGCTCCCCGCTGCGCCTGCCAGCCTGTTTGTAGGGCTGGTAGAACAACACAGAGCCCTCCCTTCTCAGCTCATCAATCAGAACCGCCATCGCCTGCACGTCGCTGGTGAGGCCCAAGCCTTCAGCACGCCGCAGCTTCTTTATCAGCACATAGATCTGCCGCGGGATGATGCTAACACGGGCGCTGCTGAAGTGCTGCAGCCCAGTAGTCCCGCCCCCGAGGCCCAGCGGGTCGGCCGGATCATGCACCATGTTGTTCAGCCGTGTGCAGATGGACGTGGGCGTGGCGCCACTCTCGATCATCACGGTGGCCATCGCCTCCAGGCGGGGGTGCATGCGGAGCTGGGCCTGGCTGTCGGCGCTGGTGGGGTCATGGAACTGGTGGGGCGCTGTTTGCCACACGCTCACCACCTCGCTGCCAGCCGGATGCCGCAACTCCAGCGTGTACGGGCAGCTGCACTTGGATGCATGGGAGCAGACATACTTGAGCGTCCACTTGCCCGCCGCTTTCTTCTGCAGGCCGCTCCGGATGGTGCCAACATCATCAGCCGTTGCCGTTGACACACCAGCACCGGGCTGCCCAGCAACGTCGAGGGCTGCATCCAGGTATGGAAAGTGGCGGTATGTTTGGGCTGGGGCATGGCGGGGAGAGTAAGAGACACTGGTACAGCTTGTTGTCCTCCGGCCCCCACAGCCCTGGACAAGGAGGCGCACCTGGAACTGCATAGTGTAGAGCCCGCACCTCAGCATCAGCAAGCCCTTGCACAGGACGCGTGCCGAGGAACACCTCTTCCAGCAGCGCCGAGTCGGGCTTCACTCGGCGCAGATCCACAGGTGCGGCCTGGTTGAGCTGGTGATCAGACAGCCAGTCATACACCTCTTTCAGGGGCAGGCCGGTAACAAGCTCCACCGCCTCTGACAGCTGCAGCGTCTTCCCATCAGCTGGCTGCCCCATTGCATGCAGGTAGGCGCCTTTGAAGTTGTGACGGATCTTCTGGCCCTCCAGCTCGCACGTCCACCCATCGCCGCTCTGGGTAGCAGGTGAGGGGGCAGCAGCTGGTTGGCATGACGCAGCAGGAGCTGGTGCGCAGGAGGGGATGCCAGCTGCATTGCTGGCCAAGGCGTAGGGGCAATGGCTGAGCGCAGCAGCGCGCATGAGCCTACCTTTGCAACGATTGTGCCCAGTGCAGGCCTGTGTGTGCCCAGCACCACCTGGATCCGCTGACCTAGTCCAGCTGGCGGGACGCGCTCCTTGTGGTGCACGAGCGGCAGCTCCAGGTACGTCTCAGCTATGGCTTTGTCGCGTTGT